TCAACGGAAGGTTTCCAGATGGATATGCAGAGCAAATCCACCTGGCGGAGTCAGGTTAGAACTGTGGGGATTGTTGAAGCAATTTGGCCAAACGGTTCAATGCCTCATGAGGCTACATCTCACCATCACTAGTTTTTACCCCGGGTTCTACTTTTGACAGCATATTACTTCCTGACACAGTTTCAGGCAGAGCTGGGCCGTGGATCGGATCGGGAAGTGGCAGGAGCTGGAGTACGCCAGCCCAGCTTATCCTGCGTTCGCCTGTGGCTCAGGATACGTGGTTTCTCACGACCTGGTCCAGTGGCTCGCCGGTAACGCAGAGCAGCTGAAAGCCTATCAGGTAGAGATCAGTGAGCGATGAGCAGCGGAGGCAGATCATCGTTACTGTAGAAATGAGCGACCTGTCTGGGTTTTTTTATATTACAGGGTGAAGACGTAAGCATGGGAATATGGATGGCAGCTGTCGGGCCGCAGAAGTATCAGGTAAAACAACTGAGAATCGCTTATCAGACTTTTGATGCTCCACGTTGTTCTGTCCAGTGTTCACTGTACACCTTTATTATAGCTGGATTCATAAAGGTCAGGGCTTGACATTAGGAGGGAAGAAACTCCAGGAGAAAAAATGAATAAATGCAAACAAATAACTCTTCCTCCAGAGGAAAGCAGCAGCAAGGCATTTGCACATTACATAAAAGCAAAGCTGTATGAAGGAAGCCTGACCTTTATTTGTACATGTTTGTAGCTCATTATTTCTTCCTTTCCTGAAGAAAAAAACGGGAGCAGAGGTCATGTTTAATAACGGTTTATGATGAGGTCAGATGAACTACAATAATACTATTTTAAACAAGTATATTTCTTTGGAAGTAAAGTTTTATTCATGATGTATTTATGACTGTTAAAATGTTTTTTGTTGTTAAACTATACAATATTAAACGATGAACTCAGTACAGCACTAAATAAAGGGGATCTTCTCGTGTCTTATTTTTTTAGGTGCCTCTATTGTTAAAACATTTTGTCTTATTGTCGATTTAAAAAAAAAAAAAATGTTATAATTGTGGGATTATGCTGCTGCTGGAAAAGATTAACCTATTAAAATGCTTTTTATTGTCTTCACCGGGAGGTTCCAACAAATTAGTCCATGTAATTAATCCGGCCTGAGTCGGCTGCAGATAATGAAAGGACGTCTGTTTTCAGGACGCCGGCTGGTTGTGTGAGAAGGAGTGCTACCTGGACATGCTGTCATCTCCTCAGCACACAGCCAAGGAGCTGCGCATCCTCTGGGATAGGAAGAAGGTGTGTGGAGACCCCTGTGGGTGTCCCTGATCGGGCGCCGCTCCAACCCTGTAGCACTGTGGGTAAAAAAAAAACAAGAAAAGATGCACTTAAACACTTGTTCAGTTTCTGGAGACTTTTCTTTACTCACCAGGTGGTGCATTTAATATTATAAGGCTTGAAGGATACGATTTTTTTCTGATGATTTAAAATGTTAAAAATATTAGAAATATTAGAATAAACAATCTGCAGTAAGGGTTTGTTGTATTTTACCGTCAGTAACTGTTAATTATTAGGTCAGTTTTATTAAGAGGGAAGAATCACATAAAAAAGGTTTGTATAATTGTGATTTAAAGGAGATATTCAATTGCATTTTAAAGACAACTGGTCCTGCTTTGCTTTATTTAGTGAAAACGTTACCGTCCCCTCACCGTTTGTAGATTCCTCACAAGCAGAAATTATTTGTACTGTATCAGTTCTCGTGCGAGTAGTGAGCGATGTGGCCTTACTGTGTTTGTTCAGCATCATTCTGTTCGTACGTGAGCCTTAAGCACAGACAGGAAGAGCGACTACGAAGCGGACATTGGAACCCAGAGGAGAGATGAAGGACTTTGCTTCCCGTTTATTTCGGGGCAGAAAACTCGACTGTTGCGGCTGCAGCTTTAAGGTTTGACGTATGCAGTCGGGAAGACTGAGTTTTCTTGAAAAGGAATATAAAATCAGCCCCAGTAATTGTGTTGCCGTGACAGGGGGCTGAAATCTGCAGGAATATTTTAAAAAGGAGATAGAAAGTGTGAAGCGCTCCCCCTTTGCTCTGATGGATGTTAATCTGAAGCGCTGACGACAGCAGAAGCAGTCTGAAGCTAAGTTATAAGAGTTAATATTCCCCCTCTGGCTGTTTGTTTTTGTAAATAATGAAAGATGATGCTTAATATTTTATTAAAGCAGGATTATAAAACAATGTTTTTTTGTGTTCAGTTTATTTCTACTAACATGGCAGCAGAAACTCATCCTTTAACCTCCTCCCCTTCACTCGGCTTCATGATAACGGAGTCACATCCTGCATCTGTTCCACTCTCTCAGCTAGATAAGCACGCCATTTTTTTCTCAGCCCATCAGCTTCTCCCCCTGATTCTGCTCGAAGCCCTTCGTTGTGAGCCGATAGCAGCGTGGAAATGACACGGGAGATGAAAAATAATCTGGCTTTCTGTACGAGCGCCTCTGTAGATTATGGAGTTATTGATTTTTGTCTTAACTTTGATGGGCGATGTTGAAACGCTGTCACATGCTGACATATCCCAAATCCTCTAAATCCTTGATTCGCAGGCCTGCTCAGACGTACATTCAGATCTATCCAGATAATGAAATCAGCTGAACTGTAACTGGGGACAAATTGGTGCATGTTTAGTAGAAGATCTGTTATGTTTTGTGTTCTGATTTTCCTCCAGCTTCTCTGTTATAAGAAAAAAAACTGCTCTGTTTCCTATCGCCTTAAATGTATTCACACCCTCTGAGCTGCCTCTCATTTTGTCACATTAGAACCAAAAGCTTAGTTGTATTTAATGAGGCAACACAAAGCGGTGCATAATTGTGATCACGCCACGAATAGACTCGGCCTATAAAAGTTTGAGAAGTGTAGAATTTGCTGTTAGATTTTTTTCCAGGTTTAAATAAATGTGAAAACCAATTAGTGTTGGGATAAAATGCTTGAAATTTACTGAATACTTTTTTTTTTCTTCGGTTCTTTTAAAAGTCCAGCCCTGCCTGATGGATTTAGTGTTTTTCTCACTCATTTATTGGTCTTTGATCCAAGGCACTGATTCTAAACATTTTATTTGTCACTACTTGGTGTTTCCACTCAGGATATAAGCTCACACCTTTACAAAATAAATAAGGATCAGTTCAGGTTGAACTCAGCTTGTGGATTTAATTTGGGTCTCAATGCCAATTGAAGCTCTAAAGCTGTTTTGAAGAGCAAACTGGGCTTTAAGAAACTTTATTTTTATGCCCTATCAATACCCACACTCAAACACTTTCTTATGCCAATTTCTTATGGATTTCCCCACCTTCTACTGTCTCCACTTGCCCCTTTCCACCTCACCAACTGTCAAATGTTAAATACTGTGCACCTGGAGAATAAATAACCCATATACATATATAGTGGTAACTTTAGTTGATGAGCTCTGACTACTATTTAACTAAAAGTAAAAAAGAAAAGATTCCAGAATGTCATAGAAATCTAAAAATGCAAAACTTGACAAATATGTCACATGCTAGTAAAATGTTACATGCTTTAAACCCTGTAGAGGCAGTTTAAATATGCAGTGGAGCCTACTCCTGCACAACCAGCTGTGCTCCTAAGGAACAGCCAGCTGTTGGGAACAACTGCAAATGTCCCAACACATGGGTTTTCACTAGAGGTGAGTATTGGCATGAGTGTTGCGATTCGATACATGTCGCGATACTACGATATTATCACGATATTGCAGTATCACTATATATTGCCATATTTTCCCCAGCTATCAACA